CATCATGTGGAATTTCTGTTCCTAGATGATGATGTTACCACAGTGTTAGCATAGATGACATACAGTAGGACTTAAATTGTTTGCAGCGCACGTCCAGGACCCCTGTGTTGTAATGGACTGATGGTATTCAACAGTCTGCTGTTGAATGTCCTTGAAGTTTATGCACATTCAGCAGCAGTTCCAATCTTTGACTTTAACACACAGTGTTTGCCTGACTCCCAGAATTGTATGACAATTGACTGTAGCATCAAGACTTTTATTGCTTTACAAAGATGTTTCCATCCTTTTAAGCTCTGTACTCAAACCTTATTAAGGCCTAAACTTTACTTTGATTAAAGAATATGCTCAACTTTGATGGTGAGAGACAAATTCTCTGAGAACAATACAGAATGTAAAAGAAACTTTTGCTGCTACAGGATGCTGCTGCAGATAAGGGTCTAGCGCCTCGGCTAAATTGTGCATCTCGCTGAGTCGGCCCAATTGATTAAGACCTTTGGGAACAGTAGGGTCCATATTAATTCTGCACTTTATATAGTGTATGCAGAGTGTGTGTTTGTTGGTGTAAGCTTTTGTTTGTGCGTGTGTTTTGCTCCTGCATTAAAATGTGCAGGTACTATTCCAGATGACTGCAGCATTTTTCTACAAGTTTCACCCAGAGTTCTGCAACGCAAGAGAGAAACTCACAAATCTCAGCCAACCCCAGTTTTTGTTTTCTGTTCTATGTGGTCGCTCTCATGCCTTAAAAGTGTTTTTCCGTCTCTTAAGTTTGCATCGTTATTAATACCTATATCCATGTACTTCTGTCAGCGTGTCTCACATACTTTTTTTAGCCTCCTTTTCTTGCCTGCCTGTATCCTGAGAATCAGAATATAGACGAAAAGCTTCGGCAAGCAAATGCTGGTGCATAATTCCCATCTTTGCAGCGTGCCACTCACAAGTCAACCCACGCAGGGCCAGAATGAAACGCCCACACTTACGTTTTGGTAGATAAAGAATTGAAGATTTCCATATCGTCTTCTGTCAGCTCTCCACTTCTCCTGGTCGTCATTCCCGAAGAATGGGAGTCTGTGCTCGTCACACGTAGTCATTCTCACTCTGACAATGCAGACATACTAATACACTTCAACACAATGATGATGACGTTTTTTTTTTTTTTTTTAATAAGTAGATGGACGGACAGACTTCACTGCAGACAGAGATGCTTTCACCCAGTCCCAGTCAATAGATTTCACAAAGGTTGTCTGCTCTGAATGATAAGACATTCACCACTGCACTGAATATTCGCTTGTTCACTTCTAGGCGTAATCTGCAATTCATCAAAGGTTATCTTCAGGCACCCAGACAGAGAATAGCATGTTGAATTTCAATCAGCACTGGTCCATATGTAATTAAACAGAAATAATTGGTTTTCTTTTCTTTGACAT